ATCTGCCTTCAAGTAATATTTTCCCTCCTACATATGTTGTACTTCTGTGTCTGTTCTCCCAGCCTTTGCACTGCTGTTGGCATACATCTTACTTCTGTGATTGAATATAAGCCCATAATATGTCAGGGGTTTTTGTTGTGTTGTGTTTTTTTGCTTTAAACAATTAACTGTTGTTTAAGGTGATTTTTTAAAGTAACAAAAAATTGTTTATATTTACACACATATTTACTATTACCAGTGCTCTTCATTCATTTGTACGGATACAATCTATATCTGGCATCATTTTCCTTTTGTTGAAGGGTTTTTTAAAACTATTTTTTGTAGCCAGGCATGGTGGCTCACACCAGTAATCCCAGCAGTTTGGGAGGTCAAGATGGGAAGATCACCTGAGGTCAGGAGTTTGAGACCGTCTGGCCAACATGGTGAAACTCCGTGTCTACTAAAAATACAAAAATTAGCTGGGCACCTGTAATCCCCGCTACTCAGGAGGGTGAGGCAGGAAGATTGCTTGAACCCAGGAGGCAGAGGTTGCAGTGAGCCGAGATCGCTCCACTGCACTTCAGCGCAGGCGACAGTGCAAGACTCCATCTCAAAAACAAAAAACAAAAACCCAAAACTATTTTCTGTGATTCAGTTCTACTGGGGATGTGTTCTTTTAGCTTTTTATGCCTGAAAAAAAAGCCTTCATTTTGTAAAGATAGTTTTGCAGAGTATATAATTATATACTGACAGTTTTTTCCCAGTACTTTAAAGATGCTGTTGAAATCTGGTTTGCGTTGTGCCTGACAAGAAGTTGGCTGTCATTCTTCTGTATTTTTCTACAAATAAAATTTTCCTTGCCCTATTCCCAGCTGTTTTCAAAATTTTTTTAAAATCTGGCCAACATGGTAAAACCCCATCTCTACTAAAAATACAAAAATTAGCTGGGCGTGATAGCATGTGCCTGTAGTCCCAGCTACTCGGGAGGCTGAGGCAGGAGAATTGCTTGAATCCAGGAGGTGGAGGTTGCAGTAAGCCAAGATCACACCATTGCACTCCAGCCTGGCAACAGAGCAAGACTGTCTCTCTCTCTCTCTCTCTCTCTCTCTCTCCATATATATATATATATATATATATATATATTTTTTTAATCATTTTTGTATGATCAACCTTTATGTAGTTTTCTTAATTTTTCTTTTGTTAAAGTACATTGTGCCTTATGGCTCTGCAAGTTTGTAGTTTAAATTTGGAAAATTTGAGCCATTATTTCTTTAAATATTTTTTCTATTCCCTCTTCTTACCATCAAAGGTTTTAATTCCATGTGTTTTAGGCCAGGTTAGGTTGTCTCATAACCCATAACTCACTGATGTTCTGGGCTTTTTTTTCTTTAACTCTTTTCTTCCCGTGTTTCATTTCAAAGACTTTCTATCACTATATCTTAAAATTCACTAATATTTTGGTTCTGCGGTATCTGATATAACATTAATCCCTTCGAGTGTATTTTTCATCTCAGACATTGTAGTTTGTGTCTGTAGAAGTTTGATCTGGGTCTTTTTTCTATTTTTCATATCTCTCCTAAATGTACTCATGTTTTTTTCTACCTTCTTGGACAATGAAATATAGGTATAATAACTTTTAAAATAACTTTATCTACTAATTCTATCGTCTGATCATTTTTTTTTTTTGAGATGGAGTCTCGCTCTGTCACCCAGGCTGGAGTGCAGTGGCCGGATCTCAGCTCACTGCAAGCTCCGCCTCCCGGGTTTACGCCATTCTCCTGCCTCAGCCTCCCCAGTAGCTGGGACTACAGGCGCTGGCCACCACGCCCGGCTAGTTTTTTTGTATTTTTTAGTAGAGACGGGGTTTCACTGGGTTAGCCAGGATGGTCTCGATCTCCTGACCTCGTGATCCGCCCGTCTGGGCCTCCCAAAGTGCTGGGATTACAGGCTTGAGCCACCGCGCCCGGCCCTGATCATTTCTAATACTGCCTCTATTTATTTTTTTAAGTTTTATTTTTATTTATTTATTTATTTATTTATTTATTTATTTATTTATTTTTTGAGATAGAGTCTCACTCTGTCACCCAGGCTGGAGTGCAGTGACGTGATCTTGGCTCACTGCAACCTCTGCTTCCTGGGTTCAAGCAATTCTTGGCTTCCCAAGTAGCTGAGATTATAGGCACGTGCCACCATACCTGGTCAATTTTTTTAGTATTTTTAGTAGAGATGAGGTTTCACCATGTTGGCCAGGCTGGTCTCGAACTCCTGACCTCAGGTGATCCCCCAACCTCAGCCTCCCAAAGTGCTGGGATTACAGGTGTGAGCCACTGCACCCAATCTTTTATAAGCACATAGACCGTTGCTTCCTGCTTCTTTGCATGCCTAGTAATTCTTCATTGAATGCCAGACATTGTCAATTGTACCTCATTTGGTTTTGAGTATTCTGGAGACACTTGTGTGTACAGTTAAATTCTGAGCTTCGTTCTGGAACACAGTTAAGTTACTTAGCAGTGGTTTGACCCTTTGGAGGCTTGCTTTTAATCGTTGTGGGGCAGGACCAACGCAGCCTTTAGTCGAGGACTAATATGGCTCCACTATTGAAACAATACCTTCTGAGTAGTCTATCTGACGGCTTGTGTATTACAAGAGTTTTCCACTCTGGTGATTATTTTCAGCACTGCTTGATCTTTAGAGATTGTTCTGCCCACTTCAATCTGCGATGATTTCCCTCCCATTTCAAGTAGTTTTATCACACCTGTGTGCTAATCAGTGCCTCAGCTGAAGGCCCAAGTGGGGCTTTCTCAAGTGGGAAGATCTCTGGAGCTTTTTCTCTGTGCAGCTCTCTCCTCTTTGGCACTCTGCTGGGCAAATCTAATCCCTGTGGCCTCCCTGAGCTTCTAACTTCATCTTCTCAGCTCATGGAGACCACCAGCCTTCTCCTGCATCCCCTTTCTATGACTTGAAGTCCAGAAACTCTTTCCAGGAGTAATCTGAAGTAACTATAGAGCCCATCTCACTTGTTTCCCACCTGAGGGATCCGTGTCCTGCCCTGTCTGTTGTTCAATGTCTGAAAACCATTGTCTCATATATTCCTTTCAAGTTTAAAATTGCTTAAAATGGGAGGCTAAATCCAATCCCTGTTACTCCAAGTTGATTGAAAGCAGAAGTACCCAAAACATTAATAACATTCTAATTTTTAATGGATTTCCTTATCTGCCTGCAAACCCACATTACATCATGTCTCCAAAAGGGCAAAGACCTTGCTTATACTATTCTCTATGGTAATCACCAGCATTCAGCGTAATACCTGGCACACAGTAAATGCTGAACAGATACCTTCTGAATTAATGTTGTAAAGTATTTGTGCCATAGAGCTTTACAGTTTGCAGAGACCTGTAGACCAAAAACTAGAAGGTGAATATGAAACTAGTCTCCTTTTTTCTTTTACAACCCTCTTTACCTATGCTTCCATTTGTATTTTTAACTTTTTATTTTGAAACAATTATAGATTCATAGGAGGTTTCAAACATGTATATACAAGAACCCTTAGTTTCAGCGTTCCTGAATGGTAACATCTTGCCTAACTTGAATATACCATCGAAACCAAGAAATTGACATTGGTACAATCCAGAGAGCTTATTCAGACTTCACCATTTATACATGCACTCATCCGTATGTGTATAGTTCTATGCAATTTTATGAGAAGTGTAACTTTGCATAACCATGGCAATCAGATCCTCAGCTGAATCACTGCATAAGACACACTTATGTTACCCCTTTATACACACATTTCCTCTCACCCATCCCTAACCTCTGGCAACCACAAATCTGTTCCACGTGTCTATAATTATGCTATTTCATGAATGCTACATAAGTGAAATCATGCAGTTTGTCCTTCTGAGATTGGCTTTTTTTTTTTTTTTTCACTCAGCGTAATTTTTTTGAGGTTTATCCAAATTGTCACATGTATTGATCTTTCCTTCCTTTCATTGCTGAGTAGTCTTCCGTGATATGAGTCTATGCAGTGTGTTTAACCATTCATCCACTAAAGGACAAATGTGTAATTTCCAGTTTGGGGCTATTATGAATAAAGCTACTTTGAACATACATGTACTATGGGAAATAAGTCTTCATTTCTCTGGGATGATTACCCAAGGATGAAATTGCTGGGACATATGGTAAGTCAGTTTTAAGTTTTGACAGGAACTGCCAAACAATTTTCCAGAGTGGCTGAAACCTTTTGTATTTCCACAATTTTTGAGTGATCTAGTTTCTCCACATCCTCACTAGCATTTGGTGTTATCACTATTCTTCCTTTTTTTTTTTTTTTTTTTTTTTTTTTGCCATTGTGATAAGTATGTAGTGCTATATCATTGTAGTGCTAGTTTGCATTTCTCTAATGGCTAATGAGTGTTGACCATCCTTTTGTGTGTTTATTTGCTATCTATGTAGCCTCTTGGTGAAATTTCTATGCATGCCTTTTGCTCATTTTCTAATTGGATAGGTTTTTTTTTTAATGTTGAGTTTTTTTGAGATTTTTATATAGTCTAGATACAAGGCCTTTGCCAGATATGTGCTAAGCAAATATTTTTCCCAGTGTGTAATTTGTCTTTTCATCCATTTAACAGGGTCTTTGGCCAAATTAAAGGTTTTAATTTTGATGAGGTTCAATTATCAATTTTCCCTCTTACAGATTATACAATTGATGTTAAGCCTAAGAACTCTTTTCCTAATCTTATGTCCCCCAAATTTTCTGGGTTTTTTTCCTAGAAATTTTATAAACTTACATTTTAATTCTTTTAATTTTCAGCTCCTGTGTCCAGTTAGGCCTCATATCTCTTTAATATTACCTAGATTACTTAGAGTACTTTTTACTTTTTTTACTTCCCATTGCAATACAAGCATTACCCAAGCATCCTTTTATATGGGAAAGGTATTTCATTTTTGAAAGATCAAAATTACCTCCTCTCTTGGGTGATTTTTCTTAATCTGCAGGACTTAGTCTCTTGGTCTGTTTGCAGCTTATTAAAAGACATGCTGACCCTGAAGGGTCAAATTGACAAGCTGGAGGACCGGGGCCTTGACCTTGATCCAGGGACAAACACTGAGGTAAGCTAGAGACTTGGCAAAGACTGAGAGGCTGGGGATTTCTGTCACTTCTTCCCCTACCACCCTTCTATTGTTAATAGGCAATAACAAGAAGTAAGACTCACAAGCAGGAGTGCTCTCTGCTGGTCACTTCTGAGCACCCTTTTCCTGAGTAACACCACTTTTCTCTGATGACACAAAAAGCCTAGACTTTTCTACTTTACCTAGAAACTCGGTTACCAAGAAACTCTATCTTGATGCCACCTTAAGATGAGTGCCTTAATGGAGAATTGATTTTCTTAATCTTTGTATGTCAGCACCTAACAGCACAGAGAATACATCCAGGAAATAAAGATTTGTCAAGAACTGCATCCTTAGAGTGCAAGGAATCTACCTGTGTTTGTCTTGGATGCTCCATGAAGAGTTCTTGTGTTGGTTTTCACAATCTCCGAAGTTTTCCTGATGTTGTCTCTCCTCACATTTCTTAAAGACTCTTCTCAAATAAAGGTTTAATTTTCCATTTTCTTTCTTTTTTTCTTGAGACAGAGTCTCACTGTATTGCCCAGGCTGGAGTGCCATGGCACTATCTGGGCTCATTGCAATCTCTGTCTCCCAGGTTCAAGCAATTCTCATGCCTCAGCCTCCTGAGTAGCTGGGATTATGGGCGTGTGTCACCATGTCCAGCTAATTTTTGTAATTTTAGTAGAGATGGGGTTTCATCATGTTGGCCAGGCTGATCTCGAACTCCTGGTCTCAAGGAATCTGCCCGCCTCAGCCTCCCAAAGTGCTGGGATTACAGGCGTGAGCCACCGCACCCAGCCTAATGTTCCATTTTCTTATTAGTAATGGAATATTAGAGCTGAAAGGTAGAGATCAACCTGTGACACAAGTTAGATTTCAGAGTCCTGTCTGATAGTTTTTCCGCTGTGAAGAAAGGCCCCTGAAAAAGAAAAAAGTCTGTGTCTAACGACCTCTTTTAACTGAAATTGCCAGCTTCAATTTTAACTCTAGCCCAAGAGTTTAAATTCAATAGATTTTGGAAGCAGTAAAGGAGAAAAGTCTCTTTTATTAAAGGAAGGTATTATTTATTTGGACCTCTTACATATTAAAAGTCACTTACAGATCAGTGCAGATCTATTTCCTGGGAGAAAAATTACTTTTAACTGATAGAGTCCAACATTTTGAGTCACAATCTTATTTTGCTTGAGTTGAAAGAGGTTTCTTTTTACTATCTTTGGGCTTTGGAAATTGCAAACTATAAAAAAGGGAAGAGGACAAAGGCCAAGAAATATTCTGCTTTAGAGAATTTCCTCCAAAATCCAGCTGTATTACAAAAATGTAGATTTCAGTAGCAGGTGAGGGGAGGGAGGGAGGAGTAGCAAAAGACTGAGGAGAAAGAGAAACACATGCATAAATGAAAATGCGATTTTTTTTTAAAGGGAGGAGGTTGGAATAATATGCAAGAGGAAAGCATCGCACACATATATGGAAATTCTCTGTGTTGGGGATACACCGTTTTGTATACACATTAAAAACAACAAAAAAGCAAGTACAAGCTTAAAAACTAGAAACAATCCAAATATCCGCCAGTTGCCATATGGATAAGCTGCAGTACATGTACATGATGGATACTACTCAGCAATAAAAATGAACAAACTTCCGATTGACCCAACAACATGAATGAATCACATGCATTATGCTAAGTGAAAGAAGCCAGATTCAGAAGACTACTTATGTACTTTGTGCTTCTGTTTATGTAACTCTGAAAAAGGCAAAATTGTAGGAACAGAAAATAGATTAGCAGTTAGTTACCCAGGTTTAGTGGAGGAAGGGGGACGGGGATTGACAAAAGGGTATAAGGAAATTTAGGGACTGATGGAAATAGTCTATATCTTCTTATAGTGGTTATTACACAACAGAATGCATTTATCAAAATTCATAGAACTGTATACTTTAAAAAGTGAGTTTTACTGTATGTAAGTTATATCTCAATAAATATGTCTTTAAAAAAAATGGCACAAGTTCTGTCTCAAGAAGCCTACAGTCTGATGGAAAAGGCTACATAAAAACAAATGTGGTAATATATCTAAAGGTGCAGCTTTAAATATAATTGTTGGCTGAGTGTGGTGACTCACACCTGTAACCCCAGCACTTTGGGAGGCCAAGGGAGGAGGATCACTTGAGGCCAGGAGTTTGAGACCAACCACGGCAACATAGCGATACCCCTATCTCTACAAAATATTTAAAAATTTAGCCAGTCATGGTGGTTCATGCCTGTAGTCCCAGCTACTCGGGAGGCTGAGGTGGGAGGATCACCTCCTGAACTCAGGAGGTCAAGGCTGCAGTAAGCCGTGATCAGTGAGCCACTGCACTCCAGCCTGGGCAACAGAGTGAGACACTGCCTCAACAAACAAAGCAACCAACAAAAAACAAAAACAACAAAATAAATAAGTAAATTGTTACAGAAGCAAAGCTAGTAGCAATGGCTGTAGGTTTACTCTGGTGAAGGGAAAAGTGAAGATTGTTAGAAATAGGTACAGGAACAACAGATAAAATGTGAGAAAATTAAAAGAGGAATAAGTTAATAAAATTAAAATCATATCACACATATGGGCTCACTTATTCTTCATAAAGAAATGGAATAACTAAGAAAGGCATGAAAAGGGAAGGAGGGAAAATTGGTAAACTTATTTTTTGAAAAAGCAAAACAGAAACAAAAGCATTTGAAAGAACTTCAAGCTACAGAAAGGGCTTTGAGGTGGCCTTTGGGTGTTATTTGGCCTAATATTGCCCAAGCCATGAAACTTTCTAAAATCTCCATGTGAATTTCTGGACTTTCGTTCAGAGACTGACCTTGTCCCAGTTATCTTTGACAAAAGCTGTATGAAGATGTTTACTCTGTAAATAAACTAGGATACCAAATAAAAGGTGATTGTCACAGGACAGCTCCTCTCTAAATAATTAAACCACCCAATTCAGGGATTGGTGATAATAAACGTGTTAAAAAAATAGGTATACTGTACATTCTCTAATTCACCTCTAAGCTGCTTGAGAATAAATATTCTTGTTACTTGTATCTAACTAGCATGATGCCTAGCTCAATGGCCACTTACATAGGATGTGGTTATTATACATATATATTATATATGATACATTATATATACGTGTGTGTATATATGTGTGTATATATATCTTTTTTTTTTGAGATAGTCTCATTCTGTTGCCCATGCTGGAAGACAGTGGTGCCATCTTGGCTCACTGCAACCTCTGCCTCCTGGGTTCAAGTGATTCTCATGCTTCAGTCTCCCCAGTAGCTAGGACTACAGGGACACACCACCACAGCTGGCTAATTTTTTTGTGTTTTTTGTAGAGACGGGGTTTCACCATGTTGGCCAGGCTGGTCTCAAACTCCTGACCTCAAGTGATTCACCCACCTCGGCCTCCCAAGTGCTGGGATGATGGGCATGAGCCACTGTGACTGGTGGCATGCTTATTTTAACAATTAAAATATTATGAAATGATTTCATATAAAAATGAAAAATAACCCTCCTCCCTTAAAGGCAAACACAATGAACATTTTAGTATATTTATATTCTTCCAAATTTTTATACATATATTTACACATTGTTGTTTTGATGGGATCGTATTATATATATTGTTTTGCAACTGCTTTGGCACTTAGCATTTTTTCTTCAACAATTTTCTATACTAGTAGATGTCATTTTACTTTTTTTCACTCCTAATAATGCAGGGCTTGATATTTGAATTTATTAATTTTATTTTGTTGGATATTTGGGACTTTATAATCAATGTTTGCCATTACAAACTACGCCTCAAAAATCCATGCCTTTGTTGCTCTTGCAAGTACTTCTTTAAGCATCTATTTCTGAGGCTGTGCACAGTGGCTCGCACCTGTAATCCTAGCACTTTGGGAGGCCAAGACGCATTGATTGCTTGAGCCCAGGTGTTCAAGACCAGCCTGGGCAACATGGTGAAACCCTGTCTTTACTTTTCAAAAGAAGACATACATGCAGCCAAGAAACATATGAAAAAAAGGCTCAATATCACTGATAATTAGAGAAATGCAAATCAAAACCACAATGAGATATCATCTCCCACACGGGTCAGAATGACTATTATTAAAAAGTCAAAAGAAAAACAGATGTTGGCCGGGTTGTGGAGAGAAGGGAACACTTATACACTGTTGGTGGGAGTGTATTTAGTTCAACCATTGTAGAAAGCAGTATGGCGATTCCTCAAAGAGCTCAAAGCAGAACTATCAGTCGACCCAGCAATCCCATTATTGTGTATATATCCAGAGGAATAAAAATCATTCTACCATAAAAACACATGAACGTGAATGTTCATTGAAGCACTATTCACAATAGCAAAGACAGAATCAACCTAAATGCCTATTAATGACAGATTGGATAAAGAAAATGTGATACATATATACCATGGAATACTGTGCATCCATAAAAAAGAATGAGATCATGTCTTTTGTGGGAACATGGACGGAGCTGGAGGCTGTCATCCTCAGCAAACTAACTCAGGAACAGAATATCAAATACCACATTTTCTCACTTATAAGTGGGAGTCAAATGATGAGAACTTATGAACACAAAGAAGGAAACAGACACTGGGGTCTACTTGAGGGTGGAGGGTAGGAGGAAAGAGAAGAGCAGAAAGGGTAACTATTGGTTACTGGGCTTAATTCCTGGGTGATGAAATAATCTGTACAGCAAACCCCCATGACATAAGTTTACCTATGTAATGAACCTTCACATGCACCCCTAAACCTAAAATAAAAGTTAGAAAAAGAGGAAAGAGGCCGGGCGTGGTGGCTCCCAAAGTGCTGGGATTACTTGCAGAGAAAGTGCAAGTAATCCCAGCACTTTGGGAGGCTGAGGCGGGTGGATCACGAAGTCAGGAGATCGAGACCATCCTGGCTAACATGGTGAAACACCATCTTTACTAAAAAATACAAAAAAATAGCCAGGCTTGGTGACAGGCACCCGTAGTCCCAGCTACTCCGGAGCCTGAGGCAGGAGAATGGTGTGACCCCGGGAGGCGGAGCTCGCAGTGAGCCGAGATCGCACCACTGCACTCCAGCCTCTGTCTCAAAAAAAAAAAAAAGAGAGAGAGAAAGAAACCTCATCTTACAAAAAATAAAAAACTAGCTGGGCATGGTGGCACATGCCTATAGTCTCAGCTACTCAGGAGACTGAAGTGGGAAGATCACCTGAGCCTGGGAAGGTGGAGGCTGCAGTGAGCCATGATCACGCCACTGCACTCCAGCCTGGATGACAGAGCGAGACCTTGTCTCAAAAAAAAAAAAAAAAAATTAATTTCTATTACGTGTCATCTTTAGAACTCATTTTTCTTGAATCCTAGTATACTCTTTTTCCTGCTATACCTCTGCTTTTCAGGGTATCCTGGACATCTCTTAGTGGATGATTAATTTAAAACCTTTAAAAGCATTCTTTACTTGTGACATGTGCAATTGGCATTCATGTCTTAGAAGGGGATGGTTTGCTTTGAGTTCGTGTCTTGTGCTTACTGACAGAAACCAGCCAAAACCATCTGTTATCTCTACCTGGCAACCTGTAGGAGACATGGAAAGAGAAGAAGAACCAGATCTTTTTGTGGACAGCTCTTTTGCAAAGCTGTCGGGCCTGAATATTCAATCTGACATAATGAGGACCTACATTCACAAATTCTAAAGTTTTAAATATTTAAAAGAAATATTTTCTCAGAAACATAACTATGTTTCTTCAACGTGTGTCCTGGTGGAAGTTTTTTAAGGAGCAAGGAAGGAGTAATGAAGAGAAAGGGGCATGATTTATTATTAAGTGCTGTTGTGTAAAGGCATACTTCTAAAATACTGAAAATAATCTTGTTAATCTTATGGTTATACCACTTACAGTCTGCAATTTATGATTACACCATGAATTTGCTCTAAGAGGAAGAAGTTTACAGAGTAAAAGTAAACTTCAATGAACCACTTTATAAGGTTTGTCAAAATAAGTGAGATTTTGTTCTACAAAACAGAAAAATACAAGTTTCACTTTACCCAGAATTGTGGAATGTCTTTTTAGGTGAATGCTTGTAATGAAGTTTATGAATTAAAGAAGAAAGTCATGGAAAGTCTGGAGGTAAGATTTCAGTTGCACAGTTCAAACAATGATAAAATCAGATAATTTATATCTAAATACAGGGGTCATTATTTGCCTAGAATGTGACAGTGCACCACATACTAGTCTCTTTCCTTTTAAATTTATTTTATTTTATTTATTATTATTACTATTTTACTTTAAGTTCTGGGATACCTATGCGGAACATGCAGGTTTGTTACACAGGTATACATGTGACATGGTGGTTTGCTGCATCATCAACCCATCATCTATATTAGGTATTTCTCCTAATGCTATTCCTCCCCTTGCCCTGCATCCCTCAACAGGCCCCGGTGTATGGTGTTCCCCTCCCTGTGCCCATGTGTTCTCATTGTTCAACTCCCACTTATGAGTGAGAGCATGTGGTGTTTGGTTTTCTGTTCCTGTGTTAGTTTGCTGAGAATGATGGTTTCTAGTCTCAAGGCCTTCTTCCTCCCCTTTGGCCTTCTGCTTGGGCCAACAGAACATTCACAATTCCAGTGTACTCCCAAGCTCTCACACCCCTGTGCTACTTCTACTTCTCATCCTGCCATCTGGTGCTTGCCCTTCGTGTCTACATATTACCCATTCTTCAAGGCTCAACTCACAGGTCATCTGTTCATCAAGACCTCTCCTAATTTCCATTACCTCAAAAAATAACTCCATCTTTGAACTCCTCCCACAAGATCTTACACATTGAGGTAAATATGATTGGGCAAATGAGATAACGCAAGAATGAATGTATCAACCTGTCAGCTGCTCTGAGACCGACTCAACCCACCTATCTCGAGTAGATGTCCCCGTCACCAAACCTCAGACACTCTCTGTTCCCACACCCTATTTGTTTTCTCTTTAGCATGTATCCTAACATGTAATATAGAATGTATGTGTGTGTTTAGCTGTTTATCACTTGCCCCCAGCCCCGGTAATAGATTGCATTCTTTGTCTATTTTGTTGACACTGTATCCGAGAACCTGTTAGCAGTAGTCACCCAATAAATATGCTTTGCATAGATGAATGAATTGAGTAGAGGAATTCAGTACAAGGACGTCTTCCTACATTGATAATCTAGTGGTTAAAGATTAGCAGGTGGGTTTCATTTAGTTTTCTACCGTGGTGCTGCTTTACACTGTGAATGTGTAAGTCTCCTTCTATTCAAGATGCACCTGCCAATGATCTGTTCATGGGACCTACGTGTGATTTCTAATGTGGGCCCCCAAGGTGATCCAGAGGAAAGCACTCTGCATTATCTATAGTAAGACTTGGAGACATTTAAAATTTTCTTTAAGGTACTTGATTGGTCTTTTTTTTCAGGACCTTTGCAAGAACATGAAACTGCTGAGTGCAAAGCTGAGGATGTATCAAATGGAGGGAGAGGACACCGATTCTCACAGTTCTGAAGAAACAGATATGGAAGAGATGGAGACCCTGCTTCCTCAGGCCCCAGCATCCTTTTTAGTGCAGAACTCTCCTCCTCCCAATACAGCGTGGTAAGTCAGAGCAAGGGGCCATTCAGGGCTGGATGACGGCCCCAAAATGTATGGATTATGCTAGGATTGATTTTCTTCAAGTGTTGACTAAAATGTTTTGTTTTATTTTCTTTTTGTAAATTATCTATGTTATTTAAAAGTCATAGGATTTTTCTTATTTAGATAAAGATCTATTGGATTTGATATATAGATATAGATTGCTTTCTTATTGCTTTAGATAAATCTAAAGATTTATCTTTAGATAAATATATCTAAATATAGATAGATAGATCTTCATAATCAAAGCTATATGACCAAAGACCTCTTGTGGGTGGCTATTAATGTTAATTACGTTTTTAGTTAGTCTGTTCCTTTTTGCCTGAAAACTCTTTCAAACAACATTAAGTCAATACTTTAATTTTAAATTTTCTTCCATGATGGCTGCAAATACAGAGAAGCTTCTCTATATATCTCTATAGAGATGTAGAGACTTATCTATGTATAGAGAGATATAGATTTATTTCTATCTACATAACTATAGATAGATCTATAAAATCTATCTATATCTATCTAAAATCTTAAAAGATGGTATCTATACATGATGAGGCAACCGCCTCCACCAAAAGAACATAACTGATAAGAAATTTGAAAAGTTTTGTTTGCTAGGCAGGATGTCTTACCCTTGGACAGTATTGGAAACACACTACCAGCAAATTCTGGCTCTTTGGATCCTGTTCAGGAGATGCCACACCATCATTTATACCCTGAGAAGTAATTTCCTCTAAGAAAACATTTTTGATTCTTTATCTCCAACCACCAACCCAGGTAGAATCTCAGCTCTGTCTTCTATCAAGTCCTTTGCCCATTTTAAAGAATTGGGTTATTCTTTTTTTGCTGTTGAGTTGTAAAAGTTTATGTGCACACCTTGCACATAATCCTGTCAGAGAGCTCATGGCATGTTATTGAAATTAAATTGTTTCACATCTGTCTTCTCCTAATACTCCAAGGGATACACAAAAGCACGAATCTTGTCTTCGTAGTTTGGGGACTTGATGTATACAAGATGCTCATAATGCTCAAAGAGATGCATGCAGGCCACCTCATGTTGACCATCATAGGAGAGAGCCTGTGCTGCCTCTTTGAATTTACAGGATATGCTGTGCTCAGGTTAAACCATGTAGGACATTGGGGGACCCAGTTTGACATGCATATTGCTGACCTGCAAGATAAATTTCCAGCTTATCTAACAGTTTCACCTCCTGTTGGAAATCTTCAGGCCTTTTATAAGGAATCTAAGAGGTTTGCTACTGAGGAGGAATTTAAGAAATGAGCATATCAGTGTGACATTCTGTTCCAGAGTAAAAACTCAGATATTATAAAAACTTGAAAGTTTATCTGTGATATCTCCTGCCAATAGTTTAGTAAAATCTATGATGCTCTGGACATCTCTTTAATAGATAAAGAGTAATCCTTCTATCAAGATAGGATGAATGATGTAAAGGAATTTGATGATAGATGATTTGTCCAAGTGGATGATGGCAGAAAGTTTGTGTTGGTCCCAGGATGTACCATTAACCATGGTAAAATCAGATGGAGGCTGGGTGTGGTGGCTCATGCCTATAATCCAAGCACTTTGGCAGACTGAGGCAGGTGGATCACTTGAGCCCCAGGAATTTGAGACCAGCCTGGGCAGCATGGTGAAAACTTGTATCTACAAAAAAAAAATCAGTGACGTGTGCCTGTACTTTTACCTACTGGGGCAGCTGAGGTGGGACTATCACCTGAGCCCAGGGAAGTCGAGGCTGTGGTGAGCCTCGAGATCGTGCCACTGCACTCCAGCTTGGGCAACAGAGTGAGACCTGGTCTCAAAAAAAAAAAAAAAAATATATTTCAGATGGCGGTTATAACTATGATGCATCTGATCTGGCTGCTCTTAAGAAAAACTGTTTGAGGAAAAAGCAGATATGGCAGATATGGTTATCTCTGGGTGAACAGTGGACAATCTCTGCACTTCCAAAAAATATTTGCTGCTGCTCAAAAGATTGGTTGGTATGACCCTAAAGTAACTCAAGTCTCCTATGCTGGATTTGATGTGTTGCTAGGGGAAGACAAGAAGTTTGATATAGTTCAGATGAAAGAGTTCATCTCATAGACCTGGAATAAGGACTAAAGTGATCCATGAACAAATTGAAAGAAAAAGTAAGAGACAAGGTCTTAACTGCAGAGGAATTGAAGGCTGCTTAGACATCTGTTGCTTATGGCTATATCAAGTAAACTGAACTTTCCCATAACCGGTTGAGTGACAATATCTTCTCATTTGACAAAATGCTAGATGATAGGGAAATACAGCTGCTTACTTTTTGCATGGTTTCACTAGAATCTGGCCACTATCGATGAACAGATGTTCTAAAAAGCTTCTTGATAGACCAAGATTATTTTGCACCATGAGAAGGAATAGAAACTAGGCCGGTGCATTTTATGGCTCCCTGAGATACTGCAAAAAATTTTAGATAACTTACTTCTGCACACTCTTGTGGTTCTATATATGAGCAGTCAACTACTTTCACAGAGTTCTATGATAGCTGTTATTGTGTGGAGAAAGATTGACAAGACTGGAGAGGTATTTAAGGTGAACATGTGGTGTTTGCTGCTGTGTGAAGCAGTAGATGCTGTCATGGCCAAGGGGTTCAATATCCCAGGACTAAAACCTGTCCAAAGGCTGTAATCCTGCTTAGGTTGGAATGGTGTATGTTTTTACCACAGTGGTCACTAGGATTGTTTGCTTTTTTTTTTAAATAACCATGATATGAACACAAGAACGTTTGCCAACTGTGAAAAAAAAAATAACTCTTACAACTCAACAACAAAAAGATAAACAACCCAGTTTGAAAAACAGGCAAATGACTTGGATACACATTTCTTCAAAGAAGACACACAAATGGCCAACAAGCACATGAAAAGATGTTCAGCATCATTGGTCATTAAAAATACGTAAATCAAAACCACAATGAACCACAGTGGGATACCACTTAACATCCAGTAAGATGACTACAGTAAAAAAGACAGACAATAACTAGCATTGGAGAAGATGTGGAGAAATTGGAACCCTCGTATATCACTGATGTGATTGTGAAATGGTGCAACCACTTTTGAAAACAATTTGGCAGTTTCTAAAACAGTTAAATATAGAATTATCATATGATTCCACAATTCTACTCTTGGGTGTATACTCAAAAGAATTGAAGATGTATGTCCACACAAAAACCTGTACACAAATGTTCATGGCAGCATTATTCATAATAGCCCAAAAGTAGAAACAATACAAATGTCCGTTAATTGATGAATGGAAAAACAAAATATGGTGTAGCCACACAACGAAGTATTATTCAGCTGCAAAAAAGAATGATGTACTGATACATACCACAACATGATCTTAGAAAACATTATGCTCAAAGACAGCCAGACACAGAGGGATATCCAAATGATTCCATTTATATGCATGTTCAAAGTAGGAAAATCCATATAGATTCAAAGTAGATTCACGGTTGCCAGGCACAGAGTGTTGGGGAATAGGGAGGTGGTGACTGCTTCAGGGAATGGGGTTTCTTTTTGAGGTGACAAAAATTTCCTGGCATTAGATAGTGGTGATGGCTGCACAGCCTTGTGAATAAACCAAAAGCCTCTGGATTGTACAATGTAGAGGGTGAATTTTATAGTATGTGACTAATAACTCAAAACCAACCAACCAGACAAATAAGTAAATAGGTGAATGCCTTTCACTTATTGCTTTATTGTGTTACATGGGAGGATTATAATCAGGTTGAATTGCTCATCTTTTTCTCACATGATTACATTCTAGTTAAGATTGCCCGAAATTTTGCCCAATCTCTTGTTGGAGAACTGGAAACGTGTTGGTTTAACTACAGCATATTTGTACACTAACATTTTGAGGAATTTTGCCTTATGGATTAATTCAATCATTATGAATCGATTTTTGCTGGTTTTAGCTTCACAAGGTGGCCTTTTATTGATAATGTCCCCAGTCCTTCAGTTTCCTTTATGGTCATCCCCTAGGTACTGACCATAAATAATGTGGAAATATTGGAAAAGATCAAAGGTTTTACACATAGCAAGGTTTGAAAATTAAATAAATAGTATTCAAAAGTGAAAGGAATATTTTTTTCTTTACCAAAGATGTCTAAAATAAATAAAATTATTAGTGACACATTTTTTTGGTTCTGTACAGGTGATATGAAAAACCTTATTTTAATTTAGTTACCTATGATTTTTTTCCAAAGAAAAATGTCTGGATCTTTTAAAATGAATATCATACTTAGTAATACAAAATTTAAATTTTTAAAAATTATATTGATTTGTAAATAAAAATCAAATGATTCATTACTGCCCAGAAATAAATACAAATTTAACTATACCAAGAGTATTTACTGTAGGACAGAAAAAACTAGATGAGTAGACTCTAAACATAAGGAAAAAATTAAACTAAAAACAAAGACAAAATAAAAAGAATGAAAGAATAAATGGAAGAAAGGAAAAAAGATTTAAAAATGTATCTGGTTATATTTGGGTGATGAGATTATAGTTTCTTCATTTCTCTGTTTTCCAAATTATCTTTGCTTTAGAAAATTTGTTTTACTTTCCAAAAACTTAATGTCAAAATGTGTTTCTTTGAAAATGCCATAGTTTAGTATTTCCAAAGATGACTGGTTTTTTAATTTAGGAAAGAACAGTGTTTATTTACTAGGTATGTCTTTGTAGTGACTTGTTTTTCTTTTCATAAGAAAGAACAAATTGCCTTTGGTGCTCCTTGAAGGCAGGACACATCTGCTTCCTGTTACCAGCTCTCTAAGCCCTTCCTAACAGAGTATCTTAAGAATATTGGCTCTTTAATAAATGTGTGAAGCGAAAGCAATTATGTGTGTAACTGCCAAGTGATAGCCAGTGGGTATAATAGCAACAAACTTGGCTCTGGTTTATAAAACCACTGAGTTAGGTCACAAAATCGATCCATAGCTAGCTTTATGCTCTAGATTTTCTCTTCTGATGTATTATAGATGGTAATTATCTCAGGTCATTGAATTATCTATGCCATTTCTTCTTTGTGTTCTTCTAGATTTTCTACCCTAATATATTACATTTATAACTACAAAATAATAATGGAAGGACTTAGAATCATATAAATAAAATATGTCATAGGTGTAACCCAGAAGGAGGGGTCCTCAAAGATTTTTAAAAGCTTCTATTACTTTACAAATAAAAGTCTGGTGCCAGGACGAAAAGAGCTCTGAATTCCCTTTATCACATTATACTTTGTGTCCTGTGGATAATCTAACTGCCTGTGCCTTTATCTGCTCAAAAAGAGACATCATATACCTCATGAGTGAGGTAAAGATTGCAATAACCTGCTAGGATGTGAGAAGGACATTTCAAATGAAAGAACCCCATGATATCCAGGGGTTTTATTGTTTCATGGCTATAGGATCTTGAAATTCCAACGCCAGACCTAGCATGGACATAAATAAGTGCTCCTCCATTCCAAGTTGCTGCTTTTACAAATGTAAACTGAAGTCATGGGAAAATTACTTAGTTGAAGTTTTAGAGCTACCTGGGTGGAGATGCCAGGAGCCTATCAATGTGATTATTTTCAGAATTTGGTTAACACAGATGTTTTCTCTCTTTGTAGGAAATGTGCACTGAGGATTTTCATCATGTTTTATGTCCTCACCGTCACTGGACTTTTATGTTACATACTATTTTTTGGTGCTACATTTCTCTTTGAAAGGGTGCTTCTGAGAATGCTTGGGTGCCACACCACATGGGACCTACGGGAGATGATAGAGCCGTTCTTGAATTCGGAAGTGGAAACCTTGCTATCCTCCTAAAGATACAGAAGATACTATCACCCTACTGGCTTTCTCCCCAGTAAAGATTGTGGCTGTTCCTGTATTGTGTTGGCTAACTTATTTTTCAGAAAATACTGTACGAGGTTTTTGTAAAGAACATTGTAATTACACAGAAGTTGATTGATCCTGGAAAAAAAATGAAAACAGCTTATCTTTACCCTTATGGGTCACAATGCCTTCTTGAATCATTCCACAGTTCGTTGAAAACATTTTCTTCAAACTACTAGCCTTCCTTCTCCCCCAACATGGGGTACATTGAGACGCCAAAGTATCTCCCATGGTTATCTTCTCCATTTTGACCTCTGATGTGTCAAAAAAGAAAGCATAAAATTCTTTCCCCTCCACTGTAGCCGATTTTACTTCAATTGATTTGGAGCCCTATTTTGGAGATAGTTGGCATTTCTTGGATTTTCTCCTTAACATTTATTTCTACTTTTGATAATAGCACCCAAAGTTTGCTTTGAAAGAACTATCCCCAGCGGGCCTAATTTTAGGTGATCTTTCAGTCAGTGTCCCCTATCTTCTTGTTAATAAGAACTGGAAATATGTTGCATCAGACACTCTCTATAAGTGAGAATTTTAAGAAGAATCACACAAAAAGGAAATGATTGGAACTTCGATTTTGTAAACCATTCCATATCTTTTTCTACTTAAATTAGCCAGACTGGTTCTGCTGCTTACAATCAAAGGAAGTCTAACTGATACAGTAGAGAATTTTGAATATCAGACTAGAGTGTTTTATCCCTAACTTTGTAGGTAATGGGAAAATGCTAACATTTATTTTTAATATAAAAAATAGTTATAATTAAAGTGTGCAACAGTAATATTAAATAGAACCATAAAGAATAAATTAGAGTAGGAGGGCAGATGGAGTGCAAGAGTGGTTAAAAAGCCATTCAGTGGTACAGGTGGGCCAAAGAGGTGGAGATGGAAATGAAAAGACCGTGAATGAAGCAGACATTATGAGGTTGAATTTTATGGTATTTGGTTGTGTAATGGACAAGGAGTTGGAAGGCTGGTGGCCAAGAGATATGGAATACGGTCCCAGTTCTCCTCATATTTGACTGGATCTTGAGGATGAATAATATTTTCATGGCAGAGATGACAAAAAAGCATTTCACAGAAAAGAAAAACCATGAGTAAAATTTAGAAGCCGGGAATATAAGACAAAGTTAGGGAAGCTGGTACAGCATAGAGCTCACCATAGCAGTTTATACAGTCTTTAGAAACAAACACTATGCCTCATTCATGTTTCCGGTCTCTGGAATAGTGATTCACAAATGCTGGCCCATTGATTGGCTGCACCGGAATCTCTTGGGGAGCTTTTTACATTAGAGACTTCCCCCATTCCCAGATATTTGGATTCAGTAGAGCTAACGCAGGATCCAGGAACTTTATTTATTTATTTGAGACAGAGTTTCACTCTTGTCACCCAGGCTGGAGTGCAGTGGCGTGATCTCAGCTCATTGCAACCTCCGCCTCCCAGGTTCAAGCGATTTTCCTGCCTCAACCTCTGGAGTAGCTGGGATTACAGGTGCGCACCACCATGCCCAGCTAATTTTGTATTTTTAGTAGAAACAGGGTTTCACCATATTGGCCATACTGGTCTCGAACTCCTGACCTCAGGTGATCTGCCCTCCTCGGCCTCCCAAAGTGCTGGGATTACAGGCGTGAGCCACCATGCCCAGCCCAGGAACTTTATTTTTAAAAATAAAACTTCAAATTGGGTAACCAATGCCTTGATATACTGTAGGAAAATGCAGGGCACATAGTTTGTATTGACTTGATAAATACCCGTTGAAGTAAATTAAACTATGTGGTTCTTATCTTTGCAGCCTCCCTATCACCTCACCTCAGTGCTATATTCAGTATTTATCTGTTCAATCATTTCAATCACAGCCATTTTTCCAATGCCCCCATCTCCCCACACCCTTGAAATAAGTTTCAACCCCTTTACTATCTTATTTTTATGTTCCAGCAATCACTGGGCCATGCCAATTTCTTCTACAGATATTTTTCTTAGATCAGCCCTGTTATTTGCATTTATATTGTTACCATTTTTAATAGGTCTTGCCATAGAGATGGATCACTGTTGGCTTAATCCAGCCTGTTGTTTCTACTTCCATGGATTGCCATTATGTACACAGCTGCTGAAAAGAATGGACTCCAATCGTCACTTTTATCTTGATACTCTGTAGCCAGAAAACCAAGCATATTGGTTGCCAGAAATATGCAATTTGTTTTCAAGTGGTTCTCAAACTGTGATATTTAACAGAATTCTAAAAAGAGGCATTTAATTATACATTTGTCTCAGCATCACCTCCAGAAGTTCTGATTCTTTAAATCTGGAATGAATCTCTGATATCCTGTATTTTAATAGATTCCCCTAACAATTCTTATGACTCAAAGTTTAAGAACACCATGCTCTATGGGCAAAAGATACCTGGGATTACAGATTAGCTGAGATCCCATACAAGGTTAATCAAGGTTCTTTGGGAGCAGGGTAAAAGGGTGAGCATGAAAGAAGTTCCAGGACACACAGAAAGGCAAAAAGCCAAAAGCTGTGGAAGCAATGACTAATATATTCAAAAGGTCTCGTGATAGGGACTATGCTGACAGATCTTAAAAAGTCACAGTTATCTTGTTTAGAGATACAAGGACTATTCAGACAAATTTATAGACAGAACTTGGTGTATGGTTTTTATAATCATCAGGTAAGTTCCCATAACTAGAAACAGTACTGGCTGAGTTACCTATAAATCCCACAAAGAAGTAGTGAGTTTAATAAAGCTCAAAATCTTGTGATAGTCACATAACACTAATGACAAAGTAAGTTAGAGAACTAGATTGTTTTAAAGAATAAATTAATATTTTACTAACTTCCAAGACATATTCAATTAGGATTTTGACTAAGATGGAATACTTTTCCCTGGGGGATGAATATCTTTGAAGTGGGAATGGTAATGTTTTCACATCAATTTGTTTTCAATTCGTCAGCATCTCAAGCTGGAAAGCTGGAAGTCACAGTACTCTATTGGAAGAGAGAAACATTTAGTAAAGTACTGAAATATTAAGAGGGTATGAATGTCTATATGTGGTAATTCAGTTAACTGCTTTTGGTTGGTTAGGTCGGGTTTTATTTCAGATATTTTAATGCCATATTCAATTGAGCCAACTGCTGTACACTAAACCGTTTGCTAAAAATGTCTGAATCACTGCATAAATACGGTTTTGGTTTTGGACTAAGAGGAAAGAACACGAGTTTCACAAAATCTCCATTTTTCATGTTTTTAGGTGAAGACAGCTATGCTGTAGTGAAAGGAGCTTTTAACTTGGATTTAAAGTTGGGTTCAAGACATGATCCACTGTCAACTGTGTTTGGATGGGATCGGCTAGTCTCTCTCCCTGGAAGGGGATCCAAGCAACCATTCCCCATCTGCTGAGAGTTCATAGCTAAGACCCTACCTTGGACTTAGCCGTAGTCAAAGACAGTTGTCTCACCTAAGGTTCCTCTCCTTCCCTAAGGGTGTTCTGCATCCAATGCCTAACCCAGGGTACCTTTTTAGAGGGCCATCCTAGCCACAGAGCTCCTGGTGGGGTCAGCTGAGGCCTCTAGTGCAATCGTATCACATTTCATCTCCATCTGCCCAATTGTGCTTCTACCGTCCCCTCTACAGGTGTCCACCCTGTGAGTGTCCTCCAGTAAACCTATATGCAAGTCTTTGTCTCAGAGTCCTTTTCCCAGGGAACATTACCTGAGACACTTGTGGAAATAAAGAGCAGTCAAATAAGAAGAAGCACGGGCTGTTTATTCAGAGCTTGCAATAGCAAAGGAGTCCATCAGTTGCATTTTGGCAGAGACTCAAAGGTAGGCAGAGGAGTGGTAAAGCTTTAGAGTGGAAAAAAGGGAAGGTTGGATACGCCCTAATTGGGACATCCCAGGTGATTGATTACAGGGTACATATTTGACTTACTCTAGTTGATCCTATGTTGGAAGCAGGGACAAAAATTAGGGGAGCTGCCAGTTATTCCTCACGATTTTGTTTACACCTATGTAAATTGAGAAAAATAATACCTGCCTCATGAGATTGCTGGATTAAAGAACTTGATGTTTAATAGGTTTTGAGTATTATTATTATTATTATTACCATGAATAATATTTTTAAACATGTGAGATTGCCTTAATTAAGAACTTTGGGTTTGACCTAATAGTGAAGAAATGAATTTGAATATACTTTCTGATATAGCTTCAAGTAAAAATAAGTGAACCACAAACCATGAAGTCTTGCTTGACTCCTTCCTTTTTCATATTCCACTCTCAGTCTGTCAGGAAATCTTGTTGCTTAAAACACATGCAGAATTCAACTGCTTTTCACCACCTCGCTGATACCAACTGCCTTTGCATGCCACCATTGTTGCAAAAGCCAACCAACTTTCTCTTTGTTCTCCTGATTCCATCCTTGCCCACATACAATTCAGCAGTCAGAGTGACACTGTTTTATAATGCAGGTCAAATCATGGGACCTTTCTGCTCCAAACCCCTTCAGTGGTTTTCCACTTCTGTCAAAGTAAATGCCAAAGTCCTTTCAACTACCTGTATTTGGCCACTGCGTTCTGTTAGCTCTGTAACCTCATCCTATTCTATTTGTCCTCTCAATCACACTTGTCAAGTTCCACTGTTCATCTTGCTGTTCCTGGAACACATCAGGCACACTCTGGTCTCCAGGGCTTTGCCCGGGCCAGCCCCTCTGCCTGGAAGTCTCTTCTCCATGGCTTACTCCCACAGTGCCTTCAAATCTGGGCTCAAAGGTTATCTTCTTGGCTCTAATAAAAAAGACAAATAATAGTAAGTGTTGGTGAGGATGTGTAGAAATTAGAATCCTATTATATTGCTGGTGGGAATGTAAATAATAGAGCCACTTTGGAAAACACTTACTCAAAAAATTAAATATAGAGTTACCATATACCTTCAGCAATTCCACGCCTAGGTGTATATCCAAAAGAATTGAAAATATATATCCACATAAAAACTTGTATGTGA